TAGGAATGCGATTGTCATTAGGATAAAAAAAATTAACATAGGGCTTGACAAAAAAGTGTACCGGTTTCAGTTTCATTGTCAACACCAGGAAATCGGAAACAAAATTGTCAAAATAACGATATCAGCAGTAGTAAATAACAACAAAGGATCTAATTAAAATGTAACAAACTGAGGTTGGTGCACTTAGTGCTGTATCGAAGAATCTTGCTTTTCCCTGTGTGCATGTTGAGACCTGCTGTGCTGCAGAGGCTCCTGCTACACTACTCGTCTTCTCTTGCATCTGTTGTTGCAGATGCGGCAAAAGAGATAGATAATCCAGCTGCATCCTGTCTGTCCACTGTATCACGTGCTTCCCTCCAAATATTGACGTCTTTATAACCCAATCGATCAACAGGAGAAAGAGAAAGGGTGAGGGTAAACAACCTTGCATGACATCGGTCTTCACATTGGATGAATCTGTCAGCTGTCCTCCGTGCACAGTTTTGCAGTTTCATCCATCATGAGAATTCTGTATGATGCTGACTATCTTCTCAGGCACGCCATAGTGTCGAAGAAACCTCTATGGCGTTGTCCTGTCGACACTATCAAATGCTTTCTCGTAGTAAGTGAAGTTGATGTAGAGTGGTGTGTTCCATGCAATTGATTGTTACACAATGATCCGTACACGATAGATGTTTACGGAATCCAACCTGCTCATCTCGAAGTTACACGTCTACGGAATCCTTCATTCTGTTTAACAAAACTCGTTTGAAGACTTCTCCTGATATTGAGATAAGAGTGATGCCTCTGTAGTTCTCACACCTGTTGAGATCGCCTTTCTTTGGTATTATGATCAGCCATCCTTCTTTCCAGTCTGTTGGTACTTGTTCTTCATCCCAAATCTTGCTGAAGAGAATATGGAGTATTTTTGCAGTTGCTGACATGTCTGCTTTCATCGTCTCTGCTGGAATGTTGTCTGGTCCTGCCGCTTTGCCGCTCTTGCTTTGTGTGATGGCTATCCTGATCTCTTCACTTGTTGGTGAGTCAATATTGATTGAGACGTCCGTGGGTGCTGCTTCGATGTTGGATATGTTCAATGTGACTGGTCGATTCAGGAGTTACTCAAAGTGCTCTACCCACCTGTTTTGCTGTTCTTCAATGTTGCAGATTACTGTGCTGTTCTTGCTTTTCAATGGTCGTTCTGGTTTATGATAGTTTGCAGCGAGCTTCTTTGTTGTATCGTACAGTTGTCTCATGTTTTCTCCTCTTGCATCCTTTTCCACCTTCATTGCTAGATCTTCCACATATTTTCGTTTGTCGACTTTGATGCGCCTCTTCACTTGCTTGTTTACTTTTGTGGATTCAGCATGTGCCTTGGCTTTCTCCGCTCTTGTTCGGCTGATGTTGATTGCTGCCTTCTTGTTCCTCCTTACTTCAATTTTTTCAAGAATACCAACAGAGATCCATTCCTTGAGATGGTACTTCGTGTGTCCCAGAACCTCCTGACGTGTTGAAGTGGTTGCCCCTTTGATCCAGTTTCAATCGTTCTCCATGGTAGTTTCCTTTCCATTGAGTAGATCGTGCAATGCCTGTAACCGATTGCTGAGTGTTTTCTTGAATTCATTGAGTTTTCCAGTATTTCGAAGAAAGGACGTATTAAACTTTTGTGATGTTGTTCGCCCGATTGTCGAGTGTTTCTTGAATTTCATTTTAATTTTGGTGACCAACAAGTGGTGATCTGAGGTTATGTCAGCTCCTCTCTTGGTTCTCACTTCGTCCATGGTCATTTTGAACTTTTTAATGATGCAGATATGGTCGATTTGCTTCTGTGTAGTATGATCCGATGAAATCTATGTAGCTTTGTGTTTGTTTATGTAGGAAAATTGTGCCGCATATGAACATGTTTCCAGATCTGTTACTGTTTTCGTTCCTTTCGCCTTTTGTATGTCCTTTGATGATCACTGCATGTCCGTTGTTTTAAATTCGAACGTTAGCATTTTGATCTTTTATGAGAATTGTTTAATCCGATTTTAATATCTGATAACGGGACATTTTTTCTGAAATACGTAAATTGATATTATATTCACGTGTGAGGTGTTTAGTAATTAGTAGCTTGCGGTAAACTAATAGTCAAGTTTTCTCAAACTAGACCGTTCATTTTGTAATTAGTCATAGTGAAAATATTTATCAACGTTTATTGTTCAAAATGTACCAGAAGTGTTGTTTGTTGAACGGCCATGACATTTACAGATAGTTTTCATGAAATTTCTTTCAACATTTCGTCTGGGTGGAAGTAATTTTTTATACAATTTTACTAAATTTTCTATGTATGTTCCTTTTTGTGACTGTGAAGAAACAAGAAAATATCATGAATTTAGCAATTCAGATAAACTAGATAACACTTGAGCTATAATACTTTTAGCGTGAATTGTTTCAGAATTCAAATTGATTCCTTAGATATTTTTGGTATAGCGAACTGAAGATTCTCCGCATAGATAAAGGAAAAAAATCGGAGATTCGTTTTATAAATATCAATATTATTGTAGCTTACCAAATACAAATTTAATATACTCAAATTTCAAGCACTCTAACAATTTATTTAAGTACCTAAACATTGGTACTGATGGGAAGCTAATTTTCTATACGCCATACAAATTAGTGAATTTCTGTTTGGGGTGGGATTCTATCTGGACTCTCGAATCGAAGTAGATGATTTTCTAAGGAGTTCACTCCCCGAGCCTTCTACCCAAAAATTTAATCCATCATGAAGTGAGGCAATCGAAGATGATACAGTCCCATAGTAGCCGGTGACTAATACAGGTTCATACCATATTCGTTCAATGAGGTTCGTGAAGCCCGAGTTCATCATCAAGGTTTTCCAACTTCCCCTAGGTGGATCCTCTATACCCATTTATCCGATTTAATTCCCTGGCACTCTTTTTCTCCTCTCACTTTCGTAAACAACACTCGTGCGCCCAGAAGGGAATGAGTGAGATTTCTCTGACAGTGGCTATATACTCTTCGCCATATGAGAACATTTCGAGAGGGAGCGGACTTTTCCCATTCCCAGACATATCAAGGCATTTGGGGGCTTTATATAAATTCCAATAGTACTATAGAGTTATCGAAATCAAACTAAGTGTAACAGAGTCCGAACACTGAGTGCAATTGATGTGCATTGACCACGAACATCACAATTCTTATATTTCAACACATTATATCTCTGTAATGAAGGAAAAAATATTATTATTCGAATGAATTATATCGCTTAATTTCCCAGCCTTTTAAGTTTACAGGCCAAAGTATCTAACTTAGCTTTCTCTAATGACATGAATCCATCTGTAACTTAATTATACGGCTTAATCGTGATTGCAAATAGTTCTCGCTTCGATTCCTTTAACACTAAACCTGAACAACTCTTCAATGCCTTTTACTTTTGCCCAAATCAATCAGACAAAAAAATATCTTACAGAGATTAAAATAAAGACTGAAATAAGACAACGAATACTGCATGTAAATATGCTTATTTTACTGTTATGAAAGTAGAGTGAAAAGATTTAGCACAATAGTTGAATAATCCAAGAGGAAATGAAGAATACCTCATGTTGGTTATTTTTGCAGGAACAAACAAAAAGTTTAGTCGAGAAAATAATAAATGATGCTAACAGTTTATAAAGATTTAAAAGTCTACGAGATTTACACAAACCCTTGAGTCTTGGAAATTGTTTTACACTAATTTTTTTAGCAAAGCTATACTATACCTGCTTTACTTTATCGAATGAACAAGCTTAAAAGAGTGTGAATGATGTTAATGATAACCGAGTTCATAGATCACTGGTTATTCTATCTTTCGGTTCGTATCAATTAAACAGAACAGTTTTAAATTAAACGAAATGATTAGTAAGCTTTCAACAGAATATAAAAATTTAAAGCTGGACTAAATCGATTACTCACTCTCCATATACAATATCGGTTTAATTAGTAAAATCTATCGACTTGTATGAGTGTTATTCATTTGTGTGATATTTTCACTAAATTAAAAAAAACACTCAGTCAGGTTATTTCTAAAATTCCTGTCTTCACGTAAAAATTAAAATTCATTTGATATAAAATAATGTATACTTTTTCTCTGAAAATTTATAAGTAGTCCCTACAGCAACTTTCCGTTTAATTTAAATGATCATAATTTATATTGAACATAATTCATTCGCTTCATTTAATTTTCATGGCATATTTTATTTTCCTGGAACTACTTATAAGAATTGTTTAAAATAGTGTGTTAGTTTACAACATTTCAATTTTTGCTGATAATTATGTAACATGATATGTAAGGGATGTCAAGTTATGTTTTGGATATATATATATATATATATATATATATATATATATATATATATATATATATATATATATATATATACGCCTTGACACAACAAAAACCCAATGGCTTGGTGATAACCTTAGACAGAATCTGAAGCATGAAATGAATGAAATAATGAAGATTATTATTTTACTCTTACTGACCTCTAGTCATCACAGTCATTCAGTTTAGTTATAAATATATATGCACAACAAATGAGCGTCTGACCAACACATTGTAGACAAGCTTCGAATCATGATTGTTTTAGACAACTTAAAAAGCCAACCTGGTGAAATAATTCTGACCAAACATGCACAAAAATGTATGTATACAGACTAACCTACATAGAAAATTAGTCAAATAAGCGATTTCTGTGCATCAGTATATAAATATATATATATATTCGAATATTGGAACAATTGAAATATGTTTGTGTGTACTGTGTAGAAACACAACGGCGAATTAAACATTGCCGACTAAATAGATAAATAATAAAGATTGTGAGATTTGGAATTCTATCTTCTAGTTTGAGTAGCAAAAAACCAAGCAACGCAACAAAGAATAAACGGAAACATCAAAAAATTTAAATTCATATTAAAAAATAACATTTTGTTTAAAAAAATATTAACTCTTATGTCAACTATTTGGTTGCGTTTTGAACATGTCCATCATTTTGCATCATTTATCTAGCATTCAAACCCTATCACTTTCAACGTACGTATTTGTTTTAACTATACTTATAGTGCCTAATACACAACAACAGTTAAATGATGCAAATAATCAAAGATATCAAAGTACGCCACAAAAATATGCAATTATAACAACAGGTGGATCACATAAATCTTATTTTCCACAAAAAGATGCATATGATGCAGATTATTCACGTAAAGTGAATGTTAAAGTTAGTGATATTTTAACACGGCAAGCGGTAGCTGCAGCCTCTTCTCAACTTCTACAACCACCGATAACTCCGACGACAAATACTGTACATAGAGCGAACAATCTGGGAAATGGTAAACCAAAATTATCTGGTCGGCCACGTTCAGGTGGGACTAGCACGAATCCCGATTATTTTTCGACTAGTCAGAGGGCTCAAATCGTTGTCAAACCTCCTGGGAGCATTGACAAGAATTCTTTACTTCTACCGTCTAAAATTTCACAACATTCAATAGTTAATGAAGATCGTTCATGGCCACCTGAACACTCACATGAATTTGAAAGAGTTGATGTACGTGTTCTAGGTGAACGAATAGACAGTAAAGCATTACTTCAATTACGTCCAAGTTCTACTGCTGCATCAATACGTAAATTACGTCAAATACTTGGTTCTGATTTACAAAATGATTGGATGTCTATAGAAACTCCGTCAAATTTACAAATTTCATCTAGTAAAAGTACACGTTCAACATTATCACCAAATATTCCTAAACCTGATAATTACTTATTGAATGCTGTAGATGAATTAAATTTTACTGTTTTTCGTCCAGTAAATAATGATGGATTAATTTATCCGATTAAAATGACTATTGATCAAGTGAATATAATGAAAACTTGGTTATTACAACGTGCAACATGTGCTATGGAGTATATATGGGAAGATTTAGGACCGTTATTTTGGCCTAGATGGATTAGACGTGGAGTTTGTGTGAATATACATTCCTGTTCTTGGCCGCCTGGTATGCGTTGTCGTTCAAGTGGTTCACGATCACTGAAACTATTGAGATGGGTAAGTAAAAATTAATATAGTTATAAGATCATTTAGAATATATGAATTAACTTATTAAAAAGTTTAAACTGAAGTAAAGGAGACAGAATATTTAAATTTGTCTCCAATTTGATTTACAATTTTGATATGATATTTTCACAGTGAATTTTTAAATAGGCTATACAGTTAGTCAGTGAAATGAATAATACGTTTACTATTAGATTCATAAAACTGAAAACGACAATGTTAACCTATCAGTTATCATTTACTTCATTTAAACATGTAAACTCTATAATCATAACTACAGTCTATTGTTTGACGTTAGCCGGGGCAAGAATAGACAGAAGTGATTGAGAATTCAGGTGAATAATTTTTGTATTTATTGTAAACAATTGAAAAATCTAGACATCTTTATTTCATTACAACGATTTAATTGTATTTTCTAAGCTTTTAATGATAGAGATTTCCAAATTATAACTTGCAACAACATTTATTTATTTTAGTTTGGATACGATCAAAAGTGTTTCCAAAGTAATTCATTTAAAATAACTGTACTTGATCTACTAAATGCATTTTAAGTCTTGTTTGATGGTCTAAGCTGGAGGCCATTTATTTCATAATAGTAACTTTGAACTAACTGATTACTTAATTGTAACCGATATCATATACGTCTAATCCATAATTCTGGCCAAATTATATCAATCAAACAATATTATGCTTGTGCGTAAAAATATTCTGAGGGACATCAGTTTTTTGAAGGCTGAAGAACTATTTTCTTGAAGAGTCTCAATCTGTACGAAGCACGTTGTTTCCAGCCACATCTCACATCATTAACAGTTACATCGAGGCATATAACTACACCTTATGTTTACGAACCAGTTCAAATTCTTGATAGGTTGTTAGTGGGTCTTAATCAAGACTATAATCATAGCCAATCACAAATAGCGATTGTTTTAGAATTAGTGCTAAGTTATGGTTTTAGAACTGACGGCAATTTTACTTTTGAATTGTTGTTTGCAAATTTATCTTTTTCTGTTCATGTATGCGAATTACAAATGTTCTATATGTTGTTTGCCTAGATTTTTGAGGATAAAAATCATTTCAATACATTTATTTATCTAATTGTGATAGTGTTGTATACATAAATTCTTAAATATTATAGTGTATGTCTAGGTCTCAAAAATAAGAGCATTCCTAGAAAATTGTTTATTTTTCTCCTGGTTTTAAATGAATAACCGTTACCGAATTAAGTTAGACAAATCATTTGAAGTTTTGTGAAAACAGTTCACTGTTCATTATATTTCTTTTACCAAAGTTAAACATTAAAAACTATTCAATTTCATGAATTTTTCATTTTGACATAAAGAAGTGAGTTATTGTTGAATAAACGTTAGTAATATAATATGTTGTATAAATCATGCGATAGTTTATAATAGTTTAGATAAGCCTTAATTATGATAGATTTTATATTTTTGTATGAAGTACTGTTATTGTAAGAAGAGTATATAATTTACATTTCAAGGTAAAACCCATTCAATGAATTATTGTACTGTTGTAGATAAATTCAAAACCCAGTGAAAGTGTTGACAGATAGATAATGAAAAAAGTTGCAAAACTATGATTCCGTATGATCTCTTCATGTCAAATAGAAAACAATGACTTAAAAATACTGTTTATTAAATTGGTTTAATGCACTACTTTGATTATATCCCATGATATGAATCATGGGATAGTTATATTGCGTTATGCAAGGAATAATTTGGCATTATTATACTGTTGAATTAAGTAAGTATTGGAAGTATTGGTAGACTAATTAGTATTAAAACAACTGTCTAATTTTAATAGAGGATAATCAGGAAAACCGGTGTAGCATTTTATGACTTCTATGAATGAGTAAACTAGTGAATTATTATAATGTAAAATAATTTGTTATATAAGCACAGAATACCAAAACAAATCAGTAAACATCAGTATCTGTTGCTGTATGAACAAGTTCGTGCCCATTTGAACACAATAGCTTAATGCGTTACAGGTTATTATTTGAATTGAGAGGTACTGGGTTCAAGTTAATGAATCAACACAGCGATGTTGATGAACAACACTACTATATTGTATTCTCTTATAAGCTACAATCCATACATTCGAAATAAACGGTGGCTATGTTTATCGATAAAACAATTTTAAGTATGTTCAACCGATAAACTTATAACTAAAAAGATGGAATGGAAAAATCGTTTTGAGATATTAACTTGATAAAAATAGATTTTCATCCATTTTATGTAGTGTTTACTTTCTGACATTCAGACGAAATAAAAAGTATATTATTATGATTATTAGAAAACCTATTAAAATTATCACCCATACTAAAAACAAGGCTGCCATTAATCACTGTGACACATAGATAAATATTACTAACTGAGATAGTTCATTGCTCAAAAATTACATATCAAAGTGTCATTGAACAAATCAGCACACAACAAATTTACATGTTAAAGTATGACTTAATTTTAGAGTTATCAACTGATTTGGCATAAATGTTACTGTCAGCGGTGTTAAATAGTTATTTATTGTTGGAAAACATATCTAACTTTTGGGAATAAATCCATTATAATTAATGAACGATTCAGAAATAAAAAGCTTGATTAGTGTAACGGACTATGAATTGTTTGCTTGATTAGTAATCAATCAATTATGATATGAATGACTTAAAATGAACTGTTTGAAACTGTAAAGAGATTGTCACGAAATGCATAACGGTATGATTATACAATAGATTTACCGGGAATAAATACTAATCAGTCCATGATATACGCTTACAATATGAGTATTAATCCACCAAAGACTTTAGTGAATTAGAGAATCACTGAAGATCAAGGCGTACGAAGTTTTTATTTTTTCCAGGTTAGGAACTAGTCAGTGATATGCATATATCGCCCTGCACAAAACCGGATATATCAATTTTAGGTTTGTTGACATTCATTCAAATGTTAATTTATACATTTATAAAAATTGAGAAACTATCTAAACTTTTACACTTTTAATAACCGAACACAGTACTCAGTGTTTGGCGTTAAACACAGCTGAAATCCAGTGGGCATGATATAATTAATATATGAATCATGAAATAATCTGTTCAAATCTATCAAAATTTTGAATATTATCACGTTAGTTTAACTGATCGATTCTTAAATTCCAATTAATTTCGTTCATTTTTTTTTCATTCCAGTCTACTATTTTCCTAATTATAGACAAACAAAAAAAGGCAGTACTGTTTAACGGCTGTAATGTGTGTGTTTTTCTTTTTTTAAAAGTTGTGAATAATTTTCTCTAATTGTAGTACATTATTTATATTAGCCAATTAATCGATCGATTATATCCTCAGAAGAAGGAAATCTCACAACATCCTAAAAAAGATGGAAAATTTCCTCTCATACCAGTTTAATGCAGTTAGTGATTAGCAGAGTGTTAAGGAATAAGCTACACCATTTATTTGTGTTTACATTCTTTGCAGTTTATTCATGCCTGTCTGAATTCTTATTCCGTTTTATGTGTGCATGCATGGTATTAGATAAACTGTACAAAAATAGGTCAAATCAAAAGAAACATTCTTTATTCATGCTGAGATTTTCAAAGTATGAAAAGCTTTTAATAGAATCATTTGTTGGCTTTTTTTTAACACTTTACTGATTAGTGTAAGCTGCATTATTATTAAATATGTTAATATGTAGACAAGTTTTATTTGAAAAATAAATACTTTTTTATCATGTGCATATTGTTGAATGAATTAGACCGTCTTTATAAACTGAATTTTCACAATATATAATGAGAAAACTTGTGAAACTGACAGAAGTATGAACAATTGATTAGATAAATTATCACATTATAGACACTTAATGGACCGGTGTTCATGCTGGTGTTTGTAAACGGTTGCGATCATGCAGCTTCAAGTGTGATACTTTTGTGTTTGAAAAGTGTATGTCCGTTCGATCTGTTATTATAAGGTATCACTATTTTCTCTTATAAATATGGCTTTCATCGACTTACTCCTTTATTAGTTTCATAATAATTTGATGAGTTTTCACTGTTATATGATTATTTACTGAAGTTTTCATCTATAAAACTCTGATATGGTTTGATAAATATCGCTTAAAAGGTGATTTTCGAAATGGTAACTAATATAATTTTTCCCCATTTCGTTTCTTATGCTTGTTGTATTTACCTTAGTCTTTTAAATGTTCATCTTATAAGGTGGTTTTTCAGTGAAATAATGCTGCAATACTGCATAAAATGTGTAGACTCCTTACGAGTAAGCATGCAGTTATGCATAATATACACAGAGGTATATCTCAAACGATAATAGACATAGTAACAATATTTTCATTTAGAGTTATGGAGATTAATGTTTATACACATTTGAAATAATCAATCAATCATTGTTAGACCACCATTAGAAACATGGAAGCACTGGATGGCCGTTTCGTCCTGGTATGGGACTCATCAGCAGTGCATATCCCCGACTCCTGCATCCCGCAGGATTCGAACCCGGGACCTTCGGTATTGTGCGCGAATGCCTAACCATTGGACCACTGGGTTGGCACCTAACGGTGTTAATGTCTAACTCTGATTGATCTAGGGATTTTGCGCGACCTCACCCATAGTAACAATAACCACAGTTTTAACATCATATTCACGCAAGACAGAGGCAAGTAAGTTCGTCTCTGAGTAACACTATTTTCTAGACAAATAATTATCGAAAAATAATCTTTGACTGTTGCTTAGTCATATGTTTCTCATATTTCATAGATAATAAATGAATGACTTACAAGTTTACTGGTGAACTATGCTAAGAAGGTAATACAAGTAAAACTGACAATCAATTATGAATCAAATCTTCATTGGCTATATATATGTATGCATAGGGTTTCACAGAAGTGACGATTAATGTAACAATATAGTTTCACGGATAGCATTTTATAATAAATACTACAGAACAGACTGATGAAATTGATCAAAAAGATGAC